GGTGCTGAACCGGGAGGGAGTAGTAGGCTCTCTTATAATGATTCAACCAACGCTTTTCCAGTATTCGTTTGATGGCCCACCTGTTCCTGTACTACTAGATATTCGTTCTGTTTCTCCCGATTTTATCTTGCTCTTTGATTCTTTCTTCTATGTGGTGATTCATTATGGCTCCAAGATTGCACAGTGGAGGAAGCTGGGTTATGACAAGGATCCCAATCATGAGAACTTCAGAAAGTTGTTGGAGGCCCCAGAACTGGATGCCGAGCAATTGGTGGCTGACCGGATTCCGGTGCCCAGGATTATAAGATGTGACCAGCATAGTAGTCAGGCTAGATTTCTTCTTGCCAAGTTGAATCCATCTGTTACTCAAAATTCAACCTACACAGAAGGCTCGGATATTATATTTACCGATGACCTCAGCTTGGAAGTTTTTCTAGACCAGTTGCAGGTGCTGGCGGTGCAAAGCTGATAAAGAAGGACATTCATTTGAATTATTCTCTATATCGGCTCACGTCAAAGAATATTTGAATTTTGTAAGTAGTTTTCAAAGAAGAGGTTTTGTGTTTTCGGCAGATTGTGTTTCTTTGTTTACTTACTTGTAAAATATCCGATATCTTTACAGTGATTAGAATATGGTTTTGTCTATTAGACTAGTTTTGAAGATGTAGCATATTGTTACTATTACACTGACTAGAAACTTTATAATATAACCTCCCAGCTTCTTGCCTGTATTGTAAATAACACAATATTATGGCAGATTAAAGATATGCTCGGTTTCATTTGCTTTTAATTTATGTTTTTCCCCTGATGGTGCTGTGCGAGTAAGTCTTTTATTCTCTTGGTTGGAAGGGACATTATGTTTTCCAGGGCTTCATTTTTTTTTTTTTTTTTTGGTAAAGATAGGAAAAATTATAAAGATGGTCGTAATGAAAATTGAACTTAGACTCTCATGCTTCTAACTATCCCGACCCCTCCCATCCAACTACTAGGCTAACCCTAGTGGTCTTTTCAGGGCTTCATCTATCGCTGACTGTCAGGTGATATTGATTTGGATTTGGTAAAACTGGTTGGTGACGCTTACAAAATAATACCTCCTCACCCTCAGACACATGATGCTATAGTTATGTGGTTGACATCATAGAAATTACAGACTATGGAGCCTCCAGTAATCACTCCGTATCAAATCCTTGATTGCAAACCTTCGTCACATACAAGATTTATTTAGAAAGCTAGTGACAAACTCTGGCCTGAAGTTGATTATTACATTTGTTTATTAATTTCAGAATATTGTAAAATACATCCAGATCAACAATGTAAAAAATGGAATACTCGTTTAGTATCAGTCTGGAGTATGGTATTTCTTATAGGCATAACTCAGTTGAAAAGAAATGTAAAATCTCCCCTGTTCCTTGGAGTATTTGGTAAAAAAGAAATGTATTTCCAGCAGTTCTTCCAATCCACATCTATGTTATGCGACAAGATTGTCCTCTGATGCTTTAGTGGAAAGTTTCGTTTCAACTGTTTCCTTTTTGTGCCTCTTCCAAGTTTCTTTTGCCCACCTCTAATGAAATTTTTCTTTAATAAAATGTCTTTTTCTATGAAAGAAAAAAATGTGATTACATTATATTGAACTGGATTTTCAGTGTTAGAGATAATCAACCGAGTATAGTATGGTGATAAAAAAAAAAGATGATATCTTCACACAGGCCAATACTTAGCGTCTTGAGGTCACTTTGAATATATTAATTGTGCATAGTGTAATTTTCTTGACTGAAATTTTCTATCTCTAATTTCAATTTGGAAACGTCATGCACTATTGTCTTGATTATAAATCAGTTTTAGATATTCCCATATTTCTTTTTGCTATAGAGAAAGATCTCAAATTGCTCGCCATATGTGGTTCGATCAAACATAGTATCCAATATATGATTCGTGCATCTGCAGCCTCCCTTGTTCGAAGTTTTTGTATTGGCTTTAGGAGTTGGATTGGATCCATCAAGATGCCCCCACAATTCTTTCCCTTTAACAACCATTTTGAACTGAAACTCCCAATTAAAATAATTCTTCTCATTGAATCGAACTATAGAATTTTCTCCAAAACACGGTTAACCAAGAGGGATGAATTTCCACAAAACAAGAATTAAAGAAACAGGACACGTAACAAGAAACTAAAAAAATTGGGTTGGCGAACAAGATACAAAGGCTCCTTTAAAATAATGGAGACACACACTTTTAGGTTCTAGAACTCAAACTCTGAGAATTAAGTCACACACGAAGAATTAAGATAGATGATGTAGGACTTCCTAACATTCCTCCACAAATATATGTCGAACCAGACGATGCTTACCAGTATAGACAAATCAAGAAAATGGACTCTAAGTTAGATATTAATCTTTGTAGTTATGCAAGAAAACTTTCCCTATAATTATCTGAGAAAACGTTGCCTAATACATGACTAATTTACAACGGATAATTAATAAAAAATATAGTAAATAAATTAAAAAAATTCTAGAGAAATTAAGGGAAAGAAATAAATCAGTTTATATTAATCCTGTTTACACTACTTTAACTCTTCACTTAGACTTGAAGGTTAAATATAAAAAGAACATTTAACTAAATAATTTTCAATTACTTAAATTTAACATTGTTAGAAGTTAGAACATACTTTAAGGAAATTTGAATAATTTACATAATGAATTGAGCTTGTAGTGTCTTGTTAAATATTGAGGAAGTAAATAACTTAATCAAAGGATTTTTTTAATAAACTCTCACCAACTTTAGGATTTATGTTATAAATACAATAATATCATTTATTGAATTAAACTAAAAAGATGTTGCTTTTATAAGCTACATAAAGAAGCTTATTGAAATAAATTAAATTTTTTTTATGAAAATTATTAGTTATTTTATTTATTAAATTTTAAATTAGTAAATTGAGAGATTAAAATTAGAAAATTTTGATTGAAATATATAAGATGAAATATTACAAATTGATCTTTGCCTTCATTTTGAATAAAAAGTTTGTATTTATTGAATTCTTAATCATTGTCTTAAGATGATGTCCAACTATCATAAAAAAGAAGTTTGTTGAAAATATATATGGTTATTACTTAACTCGAATACATGAAAAAATAAGTGGTTATAGGAAGGCATTGCAGTGAATCAGTGATAGAGGAAATGGCCAAAGCAATAGTGTGTGCTGGGAGCTGTGGTGCGGTGGCATTTTTTCGACGGGCCATGTGTATAGAATGAGGACTGGAGTCCAGAGGGATTAATACAAACTATAAAGTTTTCTTCTCCAAATCCAATTTCACCTTCTTCTTCTTCTTCTGGAAACCCTAGAAAATAAAATAAAAAAGAATGATGAAGAAGAAGAAGAAGCAGGTGCCGGAGTGGTTGAATAGTTCTCTGTGGTACTCTCCCTCCGACCACCACCGCTTTGACCCTCCCTCTCCTCCCTCTCCTCCTCCTCCTCCTCTCCCTCCCCCTGTCTTGGTCAGAGAAGATCCACCGACAATCCCAACCAATCACAGCATTTCTTCTGCGTCTGCTTCTGCTTCCTCCGCCGCTCAGACTCAGTTGTTGGTCGAGGTTAGCTTCCTCACTCACTCTAACCCTCGACTTTAATTCATTTAATTTTGGTGGCTAACTTAGTTTGTGAACTTAGTTATCTAGGAAGGTGATAGACATGCGTGAGTTGAGAAGAGTCGCTTCTCAAGATATTGCCGCCCCCGCCTTACGTCCTACGCTCTGGAAGGTACTTTACCTTTTTCCTTTTTCCTTTTTCCAATGAAATCACACACATACAATAACAATTAACCTTTGCGCAGCTTTTGCTTGGATATCTTCCGCCCGATCGTGCCCTTTGGTCCTCTGAATTAGCCAAGAAGAGGTCACAGTACAAACATTTCAAAGACGACCTCCTCATGAATCCTGTAAGTTAGTTACATTACTTCACTTGTTACTTCCCCAACCACACACTTCTGAATGTTCTGTGCCTAGTCAGTCAGAAATCATCAGGAGAATGCACAACTCCACTTCCCATGACATCGATGATGCAAAGCCTCATACTCGGGCCTTGCTTTCTAGATCACAAATCACTCACGGGGACCACCCTTTGAGTCTTGGCAAGACCAGCATATGGAATCAGTTCTTCCAGGTACTTTTGCAATTTTTTCTCTCTATCAATATATCACCTACACCTGCTTTTTAGTTAAGAAAATACGAAGCCATTTATACTGCCAATCTGCATCTTACTTCCCACAGTTACAATTGCAAGCCAGGTTTGTGATTTGTTAGATTATATACAATGCCACTTACCTTGTCACGCCTTATTTGTGCAACTACTGTGCGTATTGTTGAGGGAATTAATGGATTCGTTTAGCCAATAATCTTTCTGCTATCCAATTTTTAATCTGTAATGAACTTCATACTCCTTATTGTATCACCACTATACAAAACTTAATGTAATGTCTGGTACTCTGTTGTGTAAGTGACTGTCATGATAGTTAATGTTCCTCCTTTCATTGTTTTAGGACACAGAGATCATAGAACAGATTGACCGAGATGTAAAGCGTACTCATCCAGATATGCACTTCTTCTCGGGTGATTCTCAATTTGCAAAATCTAATCAGGTTGTCCTTATAGTTTTTTAGATTCGTACAAACTCAGTAACTCAATCCCATTTCTTGGAATGAACCCTTTCGTTTGACTTTTTCCTTTTTGGGGCATTTTCAGGAGGCTTTTAAGAACATATTAATTATTTTTGCTAAGTTGAACCCAGGTATAAGATATGTTCAAGGGATGAATGAGGTATTGGCTCCTCTCTTCTATGTGTTCAGAAATGACCCTGATGAGGAAAATGCGGTAAGCGTATTATAAGAAGCTCTCCTTCACCCCTCTTTCTGTTTGAGTTTGAAAATGTATTATTGCTTAGTGAGGGAATTGGGACAATTAATGTTGCCAAATGTGATACAATGTTGCCATTTAGGTAAAAGAAAATGAAAACAATGTGAAAATATGGTCTTAGGGATATTGGTAAAGATTTTGTTTCCAAAAAGTTGCTCAGATAGCTGTGATCGAGTAATTTAGTTTCATTTTACTCATGTTATCTGATTTTAAAATTTCTAAGCTGTTGCCAATTACTAAATGCAGGGCTTTGCTGAAGCGGACACATTCTTTTGTTTTGTTGAGCTATTGAGTGGGTTCCAAGATAATTTTTGTAAACAACTTGACAATAGTATCGTTGGAATCCGCTCCACTATTACAAGATTGTCCCAGCTTTTAAAGGAACACGATGAAGAACTGTGGCGTCATCTTGAGATCACTACCAAGGTAAGATGCAATTTTAAGCATGTGCTCTATCTAAAAATAAAAATCATTTTAACAATTTGAGAATGGAAAAGGGATATGAGCAAGAACTTTTTCTTGGAACAACGGTGATTAACTCATTTTTGTTTGGCAAATGAATATAAGGAATGAAGACAAAGACATTGGCATCTCACCTCAGCTCTGCTTTATTATATTTGTTTTAAAAAGAATTACTTTCATTGCCCCAATATTAATAAAACTAAATAATAAATGATCTAGAAAGTGTGTTTCTTACCTGCTTCATTGTTTCAGTTATGCCTTCTTCTCTATGTTAGAATTCTTCTTTTGGACATCTTTTTCTTTTCTCCTGTTTCCACTGATTTATGTTCCTCTACTAGTTAAAAGTCACAAGTGACACTTTTGGTCTTAGTCAGCATACTTTTTTGAGCGTAAATTTTCCAGATGATTTGATGTGTTTGATTTGGTTATTGAGAAGTTGATTAGAAAAATCTTACATTGCTAGTTCTTAATGTCAGGTCAACCCCCAATTCTATGCATTTAGGTGGATTACTCTCCTCTTGACTCAGGAATTTGATTTTGCTGACATCCTTCATATTTGGGACACCCTTTTAAGTGATCCAGAGGGTCCTAAGGTACAGTTTTGTTCCTATTTACCCCTTGCACTATGTTGGACTCCTCTAAACTTTTCTCTAATATAAAAAAAATTAATGGACTGGCATTTAACCTTATGCGATGATGTTGGATTTGAAATTGTAGATTTATTTTTGAATAGCTAATATAAAGGAAAGGGATTGGCCTCTTTAAATAGAAGATTGTACTTTACTCATTATACATTAATATAGTTGAAGTGGATAACCAATGATGAAAAAAATCAGGAGTTAGTTTTCACAATTCTATTGATTACCTATGAGACTGCTTTACATTTTTTAATTGTTGCGTTGGGGGGACAGAAAAAGAGACATTGTTAGATAAGAAGGGGAAAATAAAAGAGGATCGGGTATCCTCCAAAAGTCACAAAGCTGAAGGAAGAATGAAAAATAAAACAAAAACCCCATAAGAAACCACAACACAAACACATCTGACAGAGGAAACAGTAAAGGGAAGCACCGCAACTGCTTAAAGACCCTCCTAGGAAACTCCATCCATCAAAGACCGGAAGACTGAAAGAAGGGGGGGAGAACTAAGGTCTTGTTTGCTTTGATTGCAGTTTCAATTTTTCAAAATTTTAAAGCTAAATTTTTTTCAGTTTTATAATTTAAATTTCAAATTTCAGGCGGGGGTAAAGAGAGCATGTGTTATAAAATAAATGAGAGAATTATTATTGATGATGTTTTGTAAGTTTTTAATTAGGCCATTTTTGGGGTAGTAGCAGGTTTTTTAGTTTGGTTTCCAATATAAATTGCAAAACAAAATATGTTCAAATGAAATGAAGCTAGTTTAATTTTTAACTTATTTTGAAACACTTAAAACTTGATTTTTTTTTAAAAAAAGTTTTGGTTTTCAGTTTTTAGTTATAGAAACAAATAATTCACACCTTTTCCAAAGCAGGAAAATTAACTCATACAATACTGTGTAGGAGACACTTCTCAGAGTATGCTGTGCAATGCTAATTCTCGTTCGTAGGCGCCTTCTAGCGGGTGATTTCACTTCTAACCTCAAGTTGCTGCAAAGTTACCCCTCTACAAACATTAGTCATTTGCTCCATGTAGCAAATAAGTTACGTGTACAGTCAGTCTAATGGTTTTCACTGCTGATTTTTAGCTTTTTGCTTGTCTCTAACGTAGTGTTTCCAATTTAATGATTGTAAATTACTCTGTAAATGTTGGTTCGGGGGCAGCAATTTGTATTTTTGCATAATCTGATTTTTTTTTCTCCATTTTTTATGAATGGTAATCCCACATTACTATGATCCTGGTGAAATTCGCCTGTATTCAGTTATTCACCCTCCAAATAACAAGAAATTATTGAAACTTTAAGACGTGTCATTTATCCTTGTTTTCAGCTTGGTTTTCGATGTTTATGGCTGCATCTCACTCACTTGATTATTCTCTTCTCTCATATTTGGCATTCTAAGGCTATTTGAGCATAATAAAAGGAATGAAATTGGAAATGTGGGAAATTGTGAGAAAAAAGTTTAGTTTTCATGAGCAAGCAAAGTTGGGACTAACAGAATTATATAATTTCTAAATATTGACTTCGAATACGTATTTTAAAAAGGAAAGGAAATAATTAAAAAATATATATTTTTATAAATATATTTGTATCTAACTTTTGTCTCTAAAAAAGTTATCTTTCTCTTTTTATGTTTTTCAACCAAAAAAAATAGAAAAAAATATCGTAATCTTTTTTTTTGTTTTCTTTTCACTTGTAGAAAAGTAAAAGAGGAGGACCCGGTGAGAACTAATATCAAAAACAACATGCGAATTGCAAACTCATTCGTTCACGATGGATGGCTGTTCACCATTCTATGCACAGCTGTTCCATTTTTCATGTTAACATTTTATCCTCTGGTATTGCGTGTTACATTAAAATTAAAGTAAAATCTTGTTCCCATTTAATAGAAACCGACCTTAGCTCAGTTGGTAGAGCGGAGGACTGTAGTTGTTTGTGCAGATGATCCTTAGGTCGCTGGTTCGAATCCGGCAGGTCGGATCTTTTTGTTATTCCTTTATGTTTGTTTAAGGAAATTTCTATACCATATGGTGGTGCTGTTATTTGCTCTAATTTTTATTGGAGGCAAGTCCAACAGTTTGGAAAGTCAGAGACTTTCATTGAAAATCCCCCAGCATTCACAATTGAGTAATATCATTTATATATATTTTATAACAAATCATACACAAAGGAGAGGATATATATAGCTTGAAATTAAGAAGAGATAACAAAAAGTTTAATAAGATATAGGTGCACGAATAAAATTATTTAAAGAATCTTCCATGCATGTAATATTGTTCGAAGACTCCATACTTTTTTTTAGTGTCAACTTCACTTTTTATTATATAAAAGTTCTTTCACTACAACTAGTATATGATACTTTTTGAAAATTCTATTTTTAATTTTTTTTTTCTTTTTACTATTTTAAGTCCTTTAGTTTATTTTTTTTCTCAACTCTCTTATTGTTTGGCTTTCAAATTTACTTTTATAGTTAACTTTTATACTATTTTTATTTAGTTTTCATGAGCAAGCAAAGTTGGGACTAACAGAATTATATAATTTCTAAATATTGACTTCGAATACGTATTTTAAAAAGGAAAGGAAATAATTAAAAAATATATATTTTTATAAATATATTTGTATCTAACTTTTGTCTCTAAAAAAGTTATCTTTCTCTTTTTATGTTTTTCAACCAAAAAAAATAGAAAAAAATATCGTAATCTTTTTTTTTGTTTTCTTTTCACTTGTAGAAAAGTAAAAGAGGAGGACCCGGTGAGAACTAATATCAAAAACAACATGCGAATTGCAAACTCATTCGTTCACGATGGATGGCTGTTCACCATTCTATGCACAGCTGTTCCATTTTTCATGTTAACATTTTATCCTCTGGTATTGCGTGTTACATTAAAATTAAAGTAAAATCTTGTTCCCATTTAATAGAAACCGACCTTAGCTCAGTTGGTAGAGCGGAGGACTGTAGTTGTTTGTGCAGATGATCCTTAGGTCGCTGGTTCGAATCCGGCAGGTCGGATCTTTTTGTTATTCCTTTATGTTTGTTTAAGGAAATTTCTATACCATATGGTGGTGCTGTTATTTGCTCTAATTTTTATTGGAGGCAAGTCCAACAGTTTGGAAAGTCAGAGACTTTCATTGAAAATCCCCCAGCATTCACAATTGAGTAATATCATTTATATATATTTTATAACAAATCATACACAAAGGAGAGGATATATATAGCTTGAAATTAAGAAGAGATAACAAAAAGTTTAATAAGATATAGGTGCACGAATAAAATTATTTAAAGAATCTTCCATGCATGTAATATTGTTCGAAGACTCCATACTTTTTTTTAGTGTCAACTTCACTTTTTATTATATAAAAGTTCTTTCACTACAACTAGTATATGATACTTTTTGAAAATTCTATTTTTAATTTTTTTTTTCTTTTTACTATTTTAAGTCCTTTAGTTTATTTTTTTTCTCAACTCTCTTATTGTTTGGCTTTCAAATTTACTTTTATAGTTAACTTTTATACTATTTTTATTCTCCGTGCTCCTAATTAAAAAATGACAGATGATTGAAAAAATAATAGTTTTTTGAAACACAATGTCAGATTTTAGTCAAAGAGGATAGGAACAGATGATGGTGTAATTTTAATCCGTCAAGTGCTATCTGATTGTTTTTTATAAGGGTTAAATTAAGAAGACATTATATATTGTCTAATTTGAAAGGTTACAACTGTGGCACGTGTAAGTGTAAATATAGAATCGCATGGTCTCAACTTGTAATAAGCATGTTCTGTTAAACAGGTATAATGAAATAGCAACAACCTTGAACCCTTGAAAACTAATTACAACTTATGAGATTGCAAGCTATTGTCTCAATATAAGTCGATTGGTTTTACCTTAAACAAACAATCTTTGCTGAGAGGCTCAAGTGGTTTTATATATAGATTCATCTTCTTAATTTCCAATAGCACGTGGCCAAAATGGATTTGAATCCAAAAGAAACTATGTTCCGGTCAATTACGAAAATGAATGAAACGATGAGCACGTACATGGTATGCATTGATGCGCCACCCCATATTGTTTCAGATGGCTTATGGGGTGCAAAAGAAGGTAGAAGGAGCCCAATGAAGTCTTTTCTCCCCTTGTTTGAGTTGCAGGTCCTTTTAATATTTGTCATCACCCAAATCTGCAGTCTCCTCCTCAAGCCATTGGGACTCGCTCAATTCATTTCACAAATGATGGTATGTAATTATATGTTACCCAAGTAAAACTCTAATTTGACGAGAGAATAGTATGAATGATAGCATTCATTTGCAGGCTGGTCTAGTTCTACAAGCTTGTTTTGAGGTGGAACCATTGGGCACAGGCTTGAGGAAGTTGTTTCCGTATGGAACTCACGACACCATTTCAACAATATCATCGATTGGTTTTGTGCTCTTCATTTTTATAAACGGTGTGCAGATGGATTTCAGCTTGATAACAAGGATGGGAAAGAGGGCATGGGCCATTGCCATAGCGGGATTGGTAGTGCCTCTTTTCACTTCCATTTCAGCACTAATCTTATTCAACAATCATGTAACTAAGTACATAGGAGACTACGATAATTTAGTTGTTGCACTGGTGTCGCACACTGTCATTTCATTTGCGGTCATTGCTTCCCTGCTTAATGAACTCAAAATGCAAAACTCGGAACTCGGCAAATTGGCACTATCCTCAGCATTGGTGAGTGACGTATTGTGCACAATCGCTACCACCACCGGCACTGCATTAATGGTCACTGATGATTCTGGTGTGTCAAAGGTTGTAAAAAACTTGTTCAGTTTAGTTGCCATGGGTGTCTTTGTTCCATTACTGTGTCGGCCAGCAATGTTTTGGATCATCAAACATACTCCAGAAGGAAGACCTGTGAAGAATAGTTACATTTACATCATCATCTCAATGGTCTTTCTTCTAGGTTGGCTTTCGGTTAAGATAAATCAAGAATTCGTGCTTGGAGCCTTCGTTTTGGGATTGTCTGTGCCAGAAGGACCTCCACTAGGATCTGCATTGGTTAAGAAGCTTAATTTCTTTTCTACTACCTTCCTCTTGCCTATCTACGTCACCACCTCTATGTTGAAAGCAGATTTTTCCATGGATTTTTCATCGGTATCAGTTATAACTATCGCTTTCGTCATCATTATGACTCACTTCATCAAAATGATATCATGCATTGTATCCGCCCTCAGTTGCAACATTCCCTTGCGTGACGCTCTCTCTCTTGCCCTCATTTTGAACTCCAAAGGCGTAGTGGAAATCGGCCTCTACTGCTTCTTATACGACAATGAGGTACTCTACCGTAACTATAACAATACAATTTACGCTCTAATCATAGAATTAGAGTTGCACCTTACAATTCACTCAATGTCAAGTGTATTATTGAAGCAAAACTTTAATTCAGATCGAACAAAAATAATTCACACATTAAAATTTTATTAAATAGTGAAGATATTATATAATTTGAAGAAATAAACATATAATTTTATATTTTTGGAATATATATATATATATATATTACAATTGTTTTTCAAGAGATTCATATTTAAAAAAATTATTGAATGATTTTCTTATTTTCAAACACTTTTGAAATTTTATTTTTCTTTAAAAAAAATATAATATAAACTTAGATAAGTCATCACTTTTTATCTAAATTTACTTAACTATAATTAATATATATAACTTTACTAATTTACACTTGTTTTTTTTTTTTAGAAGAAGTTGTTAACAAATTATATCTAAGTACATTTTAACAAATATTATAGTTATAAGTTTATATTTCTTCTAAAAAAGAATTGGATGTATTTTTTTAAGAAAAAATAAGTTAACTAGTTAAATCTAAGTGTAATTAAAAAAAAAGTATTATATATATGAAAAAATAAACATAAAAAATTTAGTGGGTGCGTTTACTCCCACAATCACCCACATGGATCTCTCTCTGACCTGATATTATGCATGTGAGTCTTTAATATTTTATATATATATTCCATTCCATTATCCAGCAAGCTAGGTAATAGAAATAATATAAATTAATACTATATGCATGCATGCAGATAATCGATGGGCAAGCATTCGGAGTAATGATAGTGAGCATAATGATGATAGCAAGCATTGTGCAATGGTCTGTGAAGTTTTTGTATGATCCTTCGAGAAAATACGGTGGCTACCAGAAAAGGAACATGATTAGTTTAAGGTCGTGGTCTGAGCTGAGGATGGTGGTGTGCATTCATAAAATAAATCACATATCGTCAATGATAGACCTGCTTGACCTGTGTTGTCCAACAGCAGAAAATCCAATCACTGTGGATGTGTTGCATCTGATAGAGCTAGTTGGAAGGGCCTTACCCATTTTCATTCACCACCATTTCCAGAGGCAAGGGACAGGGTTTCGCAAGTCATACTCAGATGATATCATTCTTGCTTTCGATATTTACGAGCATAATAACCCTCATGCAATAACAGCATATCCATGCACGGCAATATCTCCACCCTCCCTCATGTATGAAGATGTTTGCAACCTCGCGTTTGACAAAGTGGCGTCCATTATAATTCTTCCATTTCATCTTAGATGGTCCACTGACGGTGAGGTTGAATATGATGACAAGAACATAAGGGCACTGAATTGTAGGGTCTTAGAAATATCTCCATGCTCGGTCGGTATCCTTGTGAGTCGTCGTGCTTCCCTCCAAATTAGAGATTCATGCATTCGATTAGCCATGGTTTATTTGGGAGGACAAGATGATGAAGAGGCCTTATGCATAGCTAAGAGAGCAATTAGGAACCCGGGGGTGAACCTGGTAGTTTACCACCTTGTTGCTAATAACTCGGAGGAAGAAGTGGATGATGATGATGATGAAGAGCTACAAGATGTCAAGTACGAACATAGTGTAAGGTATCAACAAGTCATAGCAATGGAAGGATCTGAGACTGCTTCTTTTCTTCGTCACATAGTGAAAGAACATGACTTCTTCATAGTTGGGAGACGGCATGGGATCAGTTCACCTCAAACGGATGGACTTACAAACTGGAGTGAATTTCCAGAATTAGGTGTCATCGGTGATTTTCTTGCTTCACCGGATTTGCAGAGTCGTGCATCCATTTTGGTGGTGCAGCAACAACTCTCGGTCAAGAAACATGATGGCTGGTTATTGTAGTCATGGATGCATTTTTTTAGGACATGTATTCTTATTAGGAATAGCTCAACATTCATTCCTTCCTCTCTCATCTTGGAAGTTATGCAGATATTCAAGCGTTTAATTATGGCCAATCTTTTTGTTTACTATTCAAAATTTGCTGACGCTGTTCTTAATTTATGTCAATTTCCACACATGTAATCGAGTTATTACATTTTTTTTTTGGTAAATTCGGGTCTATGAAAATGAAATCATACACCCTAATTTACAATGTATGTATAATAAAATTTAACTCTTACACATTTTCTGTACAACTTTTTCAATAACTAGGGGAGAAAAAAAAAATGGAAGGAAGGAAAATATAAGATAAGACGAAGAGAAATAAAAAAGAAAAGAAAAATAGTAAAATAAAAAGTGATATATAACATGTGAATAAAAATAATATAACTCTATCATATCATATAAAATTTTTTATTTACTTTCGTTATGCATATATATACTGTATAACGTTATATTATTATACTATTAATAAGTATTGCCATGTCAATAAATTAACATTTCTATATTGATTAATATGAATTGATTGACATGTGTCGTCCATCTATATTTATTATATAAAGAAAAAAATATTTTTTTTTGTCTCTTATATTATTTATTATATTTAATTTAATCTCATTTTAATTAATTAAATCAATTTAGTCCTATATTTTTAAAATATATCAATGTTTGACTTTTCGTTTTTTTCGTTTAAATACTTAAAAGATTTGTCATGTTATGATAACATGATACATGACATGACAACATGACATGTAACATGACACGTGTCAGATCTGTTAAGTATTTAAACGGAAGAAATGAAAAATTAAACATATTGAGATATTGATCCAATTAATTAAGATGAGACTAAATTAAGACTAATAAATAATATAAATGACGAAAAATATATTTTTATTTTATATAAAAATATAATAAATAGCATCTATCTAAAATTTTAAAAATAAATTTGATTAAAAATATGAGAAGTAATATTTTTATAGTAAATTTGAGGTATAAAATAAATTTAAGATGGAAGGGGTGGGCGGGGAGAGATTTGAAATTTGTAGGGTGGGAAGAGTGACGAGAAGAGACGATGAACATGATAGAAGCAAGCAAGTAAGTACAAAGCATTCATTCTCTTCTCTCCCTCTCTGTCACTTCGTTCCGTTGACGGTTGTTATGCGTTTCAGTCGAATCGCAGAGATTCGAAAGCTTTGCAATGATATTGACGACGAATTCAACCCTTTGGATTTGGATGCCCACAACTTTGCTCTTCATCTTCAGGTGATTTCATTAGGTTACCTTTGTAATTCCCAATTGCCTATTGCTTCATTCAATTTCAAATTTCAATCATACAGAACGCACTGCAGCAGATTGTATCCGACTTCCCTTCATCGGGAATTCAAGGTTTCTTTTCCTTTTCCTTTTCCTTTTCCTTTTCCTTTTCCTTTTTCTCTTCTCATCATTGAATCTCAACTTTTATTGCCCTACTCCAGATGCTTACCTACTCCAATTGAAAGAGGAGCTTAACAACGCCCACCTTCAAACAGCCCATGCACAAAACCAGATTCAGCTTCTAGCCCAAACTCACATCGATGGTCTCACTCCTTTCATATTTCTTTTTTAATTCATCTTTTCTCTATTACTTTTAATAATAATAATACTTGTTTTCTCCTTTCTCCAGATTCTATTCTCTTGGAGGCCAAACTTGAAGAACTGGAATCTTCTTTTCAATATATTACATTAAAGGTTCCTACTTCCTACTTCCGTCTCTTGTAAAACAGCTTATGCTGTTTGTAGCTATTTCCTTTGCTCACTCTGATGGATAGGTGTGTAAGTTCCATTAATTATTACTACATCCTCCTCATTAACATTGACCATCCCTTTGGCTGATGTGGAGTAGAGGATTTTCCATCTAGTTATCATACTTCTGACATTAGCTTTTACTAATTATAGGAACAGATCACAGCTGAGGCTACTCAAGGTGTTGATTCCCCAATTCTGGCAGATGATTGTTCAAATTTGAGTGTTGCGAATCTAGGCGAGAATTTAGAGGTGGTGTTGTCAACCCATGCTACTTTCTATTTATTTTCTTCTAGGGTTGGACATTCAATTGAATTAGTTTCAAACACGTGCAGACTAATTAATCCATAATTCTTTTTCTGGTTCATTTATAGCAAGCTAATGGTTTGGCTGGTCATTTACTATAATTTGTTTATAAAGAGTATTCGTTTTCATTTGTATGTTGCAGCAATTCGAACTTGATAATAAGATTGATGAAATGAAGTTGATTCTGAAGTCTCTGCAGAATCTTCAGTTTCAGGTCAAATTGTAAGTTCACCTACTTTCACTGAAACCTCTTGTATCGATATGTAATTCTGTATTTCGGCTTACTCATCTTGTTCCCTTGTTCAGGTTTGAAGTTATAGAGCAGATTGAGGATGAATTCACAGGTCTAAAAGTGCTTGCATTTGATGAGAATTGCATTAGGTTGTCATTGCAGACTTATATGCCAACATTTGAGGGCATTTCCTACCTACAGAGCGTTGAAGATACCATTGATGCGGCTGAGCTCCATCATGAGTTATTAATTGAAGTTTTTGAGGGGACTATGAAGTTAAAGAATGTTCAGGTGTCAAAATAGATCATTATCTTAATTTGTCTTGTTTATGAAGATTATTGAATCATGATTTAATGGTGGAATCTACCAAATTTTGTAATTTCCAAAAAATATTAAGGCAATAATAGAGAAAGTGTTGTTAGCATTCTTCATTTAGAAATTTCAATAGTCACGGAGCTTGTTGAGATTTCTAAAGATCCTTGCGTGAATGTGATGGAAGGTTTTACATTTTTCCCTTTCCCAAATTGAGTACCCTAATGGCCTAATAAGTCTTGAATACCTAGTATCAGATTTTGCTTTGTAATTTAGATTTCACGTAGAAGATTTAACAGGGAGTAATTATATAGGATTAAGTGCAATGTGAATTTATTTCTATTCATTGGTTTTGTTGCTTCTATACTTTGAATGTGATCCTGGCATAACTCAGCAACACATTTGCCTTTTTCTTTCCTAATCTCCTTTAGGTTTGTATTGTTGGATGTTTTGATATGCTTCCATTTGTTATGCCTAGCCTAAGGAGCAATATATCAAAAACCTTAACTTGTTAATTTAATTTAGCAATTTTACAATCCTTGATATCTTTAGATGATTTATTGAATTTTTGTTTTTGGGTATTATTTAGGTTTTTCCAAATGATATATATATGAACGACATTGTTGATACTGTAAAGTCTGTCAGGTTTGCCATGTCCTCATTTTTCTCTTAACCCTGGTTCCCACATTCCTTGTGGCCACAACTCACATGCCTTGACATTCATTTACCATACAGCAAGTCCTCGTTGCAGTGGTTTATACAGAAAGTGCAAGATAGAATTATACTGAGCACAGTTAGGCATCTTGTAGTAAAGGATGCTAATAAATCACGGTTAGACTGTTTAGCTTTGATGTTCTTAAGTTTGGAAGATCATTTAGCGTTCTCTTTACATTTTTATGTCTCAATAGCAGATATTCGCTTGAATACTTGGACAAAGATGAGACCATTGTGGCTCATATGGCTGGAGGAATTGATGCGTACATAAGGTTGTCTCATGGTTGGCCTATATTTGATTCTCCATTGAAGCTGATATGTATAAAGGGATCAGATGATTTGAAGAGAACATCTCTAAGTTTTCATTGCAAAGTTGAGGTGAGAGAATTTCAATCTGTATTAGCTATAAAAATTTTCACCATTCTTCCTTGTTGTCTATGGATTTGTACAAGCATTCTCAATGTGCTATGAGGGTTTTAAGCTCAAAATGCTCGCAGTTTGTTTTTCACTGAACCTTTTGAAATTCCAGAGTAGCTTAGTCCTACATATATTTTTCATTTCTTGTGACAATAACTAGAAAATTAATTCAGCGGCTTAGCCAATATGTTAGTCTAACTTCTGTAATTTGTCTTCTGAGTGTCTGTATAATGGGTGCTTCGAGACCAGGTTGTGGGAGGTTATCAAATTTTGAAGTGGTTCTGCAACCCTAAACTTAAATATAACCCGCCTATATTCAAATTCACTTGTTTGAAACTGGGGGCCTTATATGTAAATTTGAAGAAAGGAAATGAGCCCAATATAAGTTTATTCGGAAACAGTAAATTTCCTCCAATTTTTTGTATTATTTTACTTTGGCATCTTATCCCTGTCAATCACACCATATTGATGAATTTATAATTTTATATTTGAAAGTACCATATTTAGGTCTTCTTATTTGGATAAATTTCTTCATAAGTACATATAAAAGAAAATGCAAAAGTAAAATGAATTGAACTTCATTTTTTTTCAACGGGAGAAGTTTAATTCACTATATCTTCTTTTTCTAGAGTGTTTTTGAAAAAATTATCCAAAACATGACCTTAGTAATTTTACAGTTGTTTTGATTGATTGCACCAGTAGTACATGTAGTTAAGACATGAAGTGTTTGCACTATGTAAACTTATTTTGCATTGAAGTGTTATTCCGATCATGATGTGATTTGACAGTATATATTATATATGATCGGAAGATTTCCATGCTGA